AACTTAATTTATGATTTGTAGACAAAACTAGAGTCTTATGAAGAGGAGATGATGGGGCATGGAAAAAGGAAGACATGCAGTGAATGTGTATCTGAGTATTTTGATGGTCTCTCTCTTCTAATGTAAATGTGGGAACTTCAAACAGGGAAGGGAGAGCGGAGACCTCTGGAAGGACAAAAAGTGCATGTGGGTGAACATCATTGAAATCACAGAAATTTCAGGGAGCAAAACTTAATTTGAGCCTGAGGTAGAAAATGCTCTCTAAGGAAACAGACCATCAGCGCTTGACCCTGCCCTGCCTTTCACAGTAAGTGGAACTGATAGTTTAAGTAATGATCTTTCCGACAGTGACGTGGCTGAAACTTCCACTAGGCTTCTTAGTCTCCAGGGTCAAGTTTTTTCCAACGAGTACGTTATTGCATAATTGAGAGATACGATGATGTACTTTAACCTGTGATTATAGTAAATCATCACAAATCATAGCTGCTCTAGAACTGGCCCATTGGAGTCACTGAAATAGTGAGGTGGCAGTTTCCTCCCAGCCTTTGAACAGTGAGGGTACCGCATTCTTTCATGCGTGTAACAAGACTTTGCACTCAGCCGCTGCCGAAGGAGCTATAAAATGATTGGTTGTCATGAAGATTATAAATACAAGTAATATTTACGGACTTGAATGTCTTGCCACATCGGAAGTCCAGAGAAGAAAATAACATTTCATGTTGTTAACAAAATTGAGCCACATGCCAACTAGGTGAGTCAACAGATGATGCCACGACGTAATTAAGGGGTCCTACAAGCAACCAACGAGGCAGGCACGTTCCCAAAACTTTCCAGCAAGAAGATAGTAGAACACAGAGGTTTGAGCACAGACTTTGTTTCCAATCCCAGCTCCGCCACTTGCCAGTGACTACAGGCAAGTTTCCCAACTCCTCTTAACTTTAGTTCTTCATCTGTCACAAGAGGATGATGAAGTAGCCCCTGCTTCCCAGGGCTGTTAAGAAGATAAGAGAC